GGGGTGGTGGCTCACGCCTGTAATCCCAGCACTTTGGGAGGCAGAGGTGGGCAGATCATGAGGTCAAGAGATCAAGATCATCCTGGCCAACATGGTGAAACCCCGTCTATACTAAAAACACAAAAATTAGTCAGATGTGGTGGTGCCTGCCTTAATCCCAGCTACTCAGGAGGCTGAGGCAGGAGAATCGCTTGAACCCAGGAGGCAGAGACTGTAGTGAGCCGAGGTCGCTCCACCGCACTCCAACACCATCTCAAAAAAAAAAAAAAAAGAAACCAAGAAACCAAGAAACCAGTCACAAAAGACCACATGTGTATGGTTCTGTTTACATGAAATATCTCAATAGATAAAATCTACAGAAACAAAGTAGATTAATGCTTGCCTAGGGCTAGTATGGATGGGAAAATACAGAGTGACTGATAACAAGTGTGAGGTTTCTTGTGTGGAGTTTCTTTTTGGGATGATGAAACTGTTCTAAAATTGGTTGTGGAGATGACTGTGTAACTGTGAATAGGCTGAAAGCCACTGAATTGTATATTCTAAATGGGCAAATTGTATGGTATGTGAATAATATGTCAATAAGGTTGTTACCAAAAAAAAAAAAAAAAAAAGGCCAGAACTACTATTTTTTTTAAGAGACAGGGTTTTGCTCTGTCACTCAGGCTGGAATACAGTGGCACAATCACAGCTCATTGTAGCCTCAAACTTCTGAGCTCAAGTGATCCTCCTGCCTTGGCTTTCCAAAGTGCTGGGGATTATAGGTATGAACCATCGTGTCCAGCCAAGGTCAGCTCTCCTAACTCAAAATTCTGGGTTTTTATAAAATGCTTAATATTTTACAGTCTCCTTTCATATTTATATTATTTTAAATTTTACTTATTGAAATTAATTAAATTAATTTTAATTGCCCCATGTTTTTCTTTGGATGCTTTCAATGAACATAACCAATAGAATAACATAAAATATCATGTAGAGATACACTTGAATTTTAAAATGACATGTAACTAGGCTGGGTGCGGTGGCTCATGCCTGTAATCCCAGCACTTTGGGAGGTTGAGGCGGGCCGATCACGAGGTCAGGAGTTTTAAACCAGCCTGGCCAACATGGTGAAACCCTGTCTCTACTAAAAATACAAAAAATTAGCTGGGCGTGGTGCCGTGCACCTGTAATCCCAACTACTCGGAAGGCTGAGGCAGAAGAATTGCTTGGACCTGGGAGGCGGAGGGTGCACCAAGCCGAGATCGTGCCACTGCACTCCAGCCTGGGCAACAGAACAAGATTCCATCTCAGAAAACAAAACAAAAAAAAAACCAAAAATTAGTCAGACATGGTGGTGCATGCCTGTAGTCCCAGCTACTCGGGAAGCTGAGGCAGGAGAATCGCTTGAACCCAGGAGGCAGAGGTTGCAGCGACCCGAGATCATGCCACTGCATGCCAGCTTGGGTGACAGAGTGAGACCCTGTCTCAAAAAAAAAAAAAAAAAAAAAAAAGACATCTAACTTATTCTTGTAATTATGTATAAGGAAGTCATCAAAGTGGTAGTTTTCTTTTAAATATGACTTTATAGCTAACACCTATTTTACATGGATTATCTCATGTGATTTTTTTTCTCAATTCTGAGGTCAGCAGGAAAGGTGGTATTATGCCCCATTTTTCAGATCAGTAACTGAGACTCAAAGAGTAATACATATACTCTTTGACCAAGATAACACATAGTTCACTTACCCAGGAATTTTAATTCTAAATACAGTATTCTTCTACACTACACCAAAAGAACTGATTCTCTCTCTTCTTTTTTACTTGGCTTTTTTTTTTCTAGTGTAGAACCTCTTTTCCCCTTTTTCACTGACACATTAAACACAAAGGGCAGAGGAAAAGTAGAAGTATAATCATTTTCTTTTTTTAGTGATGCGGTCTTGCTACGTTGCCCAGGCTAGTCTCAAGCTCCTGACCTCAAGCTGTCCTCCTGCCTCAGCCACTATGCCTGGCTATTTATTTAACTCTTATTTCTGAAGGAATGGAGAGTTTGGAGCAGGGCCATAAAACAATATTCCATTATCCTGTAGGGACACATTTATAGCACTGTTTTCTCCAAATAATTCTATGGTTACTCTATTTAGATAAAGCAACTGTGAACAGAAAATAACTTTCTGTTTTTCTTTGAGACAGAGTCTCGCTCTGCCACACAGGCTGGAGTGCAGTGACACGATCTCAGCTCACTGAACCTCCACCTCCTGGGTTCAAGCAATTCTGGTGCCTCAGCCTCCCGAGTAGCTGGGACTATAGGCGCACGCCACCACACCTGGCTAATTTTTTGGTATTTTTAGTAGAAACAGAGTTTTACCAAGTTGGCTAGGCTGGTCTTGAATTTCTGACCTCAACTGATCTGCCTGCCTCAGCCTCCTGAAGTGCTGGGATTACAGACATGAGCCACCGCGCCTGGCCAGAAATTAACTTTTAGTGTCTACAATATACAGTCTAATTATATTTTCTGGAACTGCATATGCATTAAAAGTCCCCTATGTACTCTGTTCAGTTATCAGGACAGTAACTACATTATTCCTTATGTTTTCCTGTACTAAGAGTTTTTGTCTAATCTAAAAAATATTATGTCCTTATTTATCAAAATGGACAGAGCCTAAAATATTAACTGCAATATATGATAGCTAATCCTAACATTCTATAAACATATAAAACAGACTCGCTTGAGAGAAAGATCACCAAAGTATTGCAAGGTAAATTGATCTTGCCTTGGAAAACTAATCTATCTCCAATCAAAATCAAGGAGTGTTTCTGGAAATTCCTCTATTTCTGGCAAACAACTTAAGGCAAATCTCCACAGTTCTGTGTATTCTTAAAGCAATTTCCATATTAATTTTTCTACTCCAAGTCAGAGTAGGATAGTAACTATTACCTGAATTTCAGGAAGTAAACAACTAAGAGAAAGAAGAGACACAGGCAAAAAGCAGATATTAAATTTTTGATTCAAACTAAGTTTGAGTTAACCGAGTGTAGCACAAAGATCCCTGAAGTACAAATTAGAAGACATGAGTGTTAGCTGATTCTGCCTCTTGCTTATCTGTGTAATTTTGAGCAAGTCATTTTTATTTTGAGCAAGTCATCTGATCATTCTTTTCTTCATCTTTACGACGAGTTGAAAATACTTTTTTGTGCTTCTTATTCCCCAAGATTACTGTAAGGGTCAACTGACAAAGTATCTATGAAATTATAAAGCCCTATGCAAATATAGAGTAATATATGCATATATATGTGTTTATATGTATGCGTGTGTGTGTAGACGTTGATTACTTTCCAATATTAGTCAAGTTTGACTCATAGAAATAGTCTCTGACTTCTAGGAATTCACAGTTGAGAGAGGAAACAAACATTAAAAATAAACAATACAATAAAGGAAAAAGTGAGGTAACAGAGGTATATACCAACTGTTACTGGACCCCAGCAAAGAGATAAAGGAATCTGAGGGGAAAAGTCAGTTGTCATAAAGATTACAACTAGGCTTCAAGGAAGAGGCTGAGTTGCTAGAATTTCATCCAGATACATGGGCTTCAAGATACATAAAGTATCATGAAACCTCTGTTACAACTGGTTCTGCCTTCAATAATTAAAAGTAGTACTTAACCTCCTTAGACCTCTCTTACCACAAGTCTGAAATAAAGGGTTTTGGCAAAATAAACCCACAAGTCCTTCCAGGCCTAAAATTAGATGGTTCTATGAGTCAAACTCTGGTCATTGTACATATACCAAGAAAGAGGGTTCAAGAAAGTAATAAGCCAGAACTATTAAAAAAGGAGTTCTCCACCAGGCACGGTGGCTCACGCCTGTAATCCCAACATTTTGGGAGGCCAAGGTGGGCAAATCACCTGAGGTCGGGAGTTCAAGACCAGCCTGACCAACATGGAGAAACCCCATCTCTACTAAAAATACAAAATTAGCCAGGCGTGGTGGTGCATGCCTGTAATCCCAGCTACTCGGGAGGCTAAGGCAGGAGAATCACTTGAACTCGGGAGGTGGAGGTTTTGGTGAGTCGAGATTGTGCTATCGCACTCCAGCCTGGGCAACAAGAGCAAAACTCTGTCTCAAAATAAAAAGGAGTTCTCAGGTGGGCTCAGTAGCTCATGCCTGTAATCCCAGCACTTTGGGAGGCTGAGGTGGGTGGATCACAAGGTCAGGAGTTTGAGACCAGCTTGGCCAATACAGTGAAACCCCGTCTCGACTAAAAAATACAAAAATTAGCCCAGTGTGGTGGCGTACTCCTGTGGTCCCAGCTACTCAAGAGGCTGAGGCAGGAGAATCACTTGAACCCGGGAGGCGGAGGTTGCAGTGAGCCAAGATGGTGCCACTGGACTCTGGCCTGGGTGACAGAGTGAGACTCTGTCTTAAAAAAAAAAAAAAGAAAAAAGAAAAAAAGGAGTTCTCCCATTAACTGCTTTTTCTTGGAATCAGAAGTCTAAGAACAATATTTAGAAAAATATCTACCTAGAAAAAGCTGTAGCGCAATGAAGAGTAGAAATTGGAAAGATATCAACAAGGGGAGAGGCAAAACAATACGTGATAGCACGGAATGAAGCATTCAGTTCTGCAAAGATATCACTTAGACCAGTAAGGAAATAGGTAGTATATAGGAAGTTATAATATTTACATTCTTATTCCAAGAAAAACTTGGAGTAAAACCAAAACCAGACTTTAAAATTTATACTTCCATAAAATGAAGTTGTTTGAGTTTTTGCCTTGGTAAACCACTTCTAAAAAAACCTATTTGTATGAAGAGTTCAGTTTAGGCATTATAAAGAAAAGGATCAAAAACCTAAATATACACAACTGAATTAGTTTCAGAAATGGTACCAAAAGTGGATATCAGATAATTCACCAAACATTTATTAAACTATGTTTAATAGGGCAAGTTGTTATAAAACACAGTCCAAGTACTCAAGGGATTCACTGATTTAAGACTGTAAACAACAAAGTATAGTAACTCTTACCCATCAATGATATTTTCAGGTGGGTGTTTTTCATCACTTGATGTAGCTAAAATCACTTCGGACCCTTCAGAGCTCAGACACAGATCAATTTTTCTCATCTTAAAATGTTTAACCTGCAAATCAAAAAATAACAAAAAAAGCAACTTCTTGATTCTCTAAACTTTATCTGAGAAAACCAAGTGAGAAGGGAAGGCTGTTGCCTAGCAGATGGTTTAACAGCCAAGCTATTCAACATGTGGGAGGGACTCTAACATGTTTGTTTATGTAAGAAACCTCTCCCAGGGATAATCTATAAGACATGACTATTTCTGCCACTCTGCTTCACAAAATAAGTCCCTGACTACCCTAGCCAAACAAAAACACAAAAACACAGAGGTACAGGAAGAAGGTCAACAGAGGAGAACAACATGGAATACCATAAAAATACTCAATTAGGCCGGGTGCGGTGGCTCATGCCTGTAATCCCAGCACTTTGGGAGTCCAAAAAAAATTTTTTTTTTTCTGTAGAGATGGGGTCTTGCTATGCTGCACAGGCTAGTCTTTGTTTTGAGACGGAGTCTCACTCTTGTTGCCCAAGCTGGAGTGCAATGGCACGATCTTGGCTCAATGCAACCTCTGCCTTCCGGTTTCAAGCGATTCTCCTGCCTCAGCTCCTGAGTAGCTGGGATTACAGGCACCCGCCACCACACCAGGTTAATTTTTGTATTTTTAGAAGAGACGGGGTTTCACCATGTTGGCCTGGCTAGTCTCAAACTCCTGACCTCATAATCCGCCCACCTCAGCCTCCCAAAGTGCTGGGATTAAGGGCGTGAGCCACCACACCCAGCTTGCTCAGGTTAGTCTTAAAACTCCTGGCCTCAAGTGATCCTCCTGCCTCAGCGTTTCAAAGTGCTGGTATTAAAGGCTTGCGCCACTGTGCCCAGCCAGTATCAGTATTTTATAAAAATGCATTTATTCTTAGTTTTTATTTATTAGAATACAGTTCACTTTCTATTATATTTTAAAAACTAGTATCGATAGTATTAAAAGTGTGGTAACATTGGTATGAAAACACATATATTTTAATTTTTTGTGCCTCTTTTCTCTATCAATCTTACCACAGCTTTTGACACTATTGATACCAGAGAAACAGTCAGTGTGGGATGAACATTGTCAAGCCTTAGTTTTAAGAGGAGAAAGATGATGAATTCTGTAAATACAGATTGATAAACTTGAATGCTAATTCTCAACAAAACCCTAAAATTATTAAATTTCATGATTAAAATGGTAGCCTTGAAAATGTAACCAAGGAAGTACTAAAATTGGAAGTAGCAGTAACATTAGTTTACAAGCTAAACCAAACCTATACATTTCTGTTTGTCTGATGGAATTCCTACCCATTTGGAACATGTTCTAAACATTTCGACAAAGCTTCAGACAAAGCTTCTCAAGATACCTTGTGAACCCGACAGAGAAATATGAATTGGGTGACAGCCAGTACTCTAGGTAGATATTTCTAACTCTGAGTGGCTATACTCAACGAATGATGATTAATGGAAGAAAATGAACTTGTGGAGGACTTCTATCCTTATCCTACTCAACATTTTTATTAATTAAGGATGCACAAAGTATACTCATCAATTTTGCAGACACAAAGCTTGGGATGTCAGCTGATACGGTAGGTGACAGAATTAGCATTCAAAAAGAAATGAGCAAGCTAGAAAGATGACTTGCAATGAGTAAGTCATCTAATAAGGATAAAAGTAAAAACCTTTACTCAGTTTTGAAAAAAATCAATCATACAAGGGTTAGTCTAAATCAGGGGTTAGCAAACTACTACCTGTGAGCCAAATCTAGCCTGCCATTTGTTTTTGTACTGCCCACAAGCTAAAAATGTGTTTAACATCTTAAAATATTTTTTAAAATCAAAATATACTGTGACACACAAAAATTACATGAAACTCAGATTTTAATGTCCATGAATTATATTGGAAAGTGGCTATGCTCATTCGCTTATATATTGCCTATGGCTGATTATATGTTACAGTGACATAGCTGAGTCACTGAAACAGACTACAAGGCCCATAAAACCTGAAATATTTACTATTTGGCCCTTTACAAAAAAGTTTGCCAACCTCTGATCTGATACATATAGGTTTGGTTGATCACAAAGTCAATACAAGGCAACAGTGTACTCTATCTGCCCCTAAAGGTAATGGAATGCTATCTTAGAGTTAAGGAAGTACCACATTCCATCAACATTTTTGAACACCAGTTGAACTAAGGGCCAAGCACTGTGCTAGTATTGCAAAGACGAATATAACAACCTAGTGACTAAGACTTGGTTCTTGCCTTCAAGTTCAGAGTCAAGGAAGATGAATAAGCATGAAACTAATAGTATAATATGCTACGTACTAACATTGTGTGACGCACATCCAGCACACTGTGTTCAGTTCTGGGTAGTATGTTTTAAGTAGGACATCGTCAGGCGTGATATTGTTCAGAGGAGAGTAAAAAGTTCATGATGATCTATAAACCATATTACATAGAGGAAGGAGAAAAATAGAAATATGACTACCATTTTTACTCTCAGTGGTGCTCACAAATGGAAAAAGAATTTTTTTTAACGCCTCCAGGGGTGTGAACTGAACTCAACAAATACACATTTTGAGCAGGAACTTTGGAGAGACAAGGACTTTCGTGCACAGTAAAGATTTTAAATTTCTTTCATCCCTGGAAACATCCAAGAAAAGTCAGTAAAAGATCATAATCTATAGAAGAAGCCAAAGAAATCTATGGAGGAAGCCAAAGACAGGATTCCTGCATTGGTAGTTCTCTTGGACTGAGTCAAATTCTAGGAAAGGTAGATTGGGAATAGATAATGAAAGATCTGAAAAGCCAGGTTAACGGCAATGAAGTTTATCTTGTACTCCGTACTCCAGTGGTTCTCAACTGGACTGGGGGTAGATTTTGGCCTCCAACGGACACTTCACAACATGTGAAGTTTTAGCTGTCACAACTTGGGAGGGAAAATGCTGCTAAATATACCATCATATAGAGGACAGCACATCCACAAGTAATTATTGGACCCATGTATAAATAGTGTAAAGCTGGGGAAACTATGCAGTAATCTATTTGGGGGTGGAAATGTGAGGGTTGGGGCTATAGGGAGAGAACTTTTTTTTTTTTGAGATAAGGTCTGGCTCTATGGCCCAGGCTGGAGTGCAACGATGTGATCTCGGCTCAATGCAACGTCTGCCTTCCGGGCTCAAGCTATCCTCCCACCTCAGCCTTCCTAGTAGCTGGGACTACAGGCACGCACCACCACGCCCGGCTCATTTTTTTGTTTTGTTGGGACGGGGTTTTGCCATGTTGCCCAGGCTGGTCTCTAACTCATGAGCTCAAGCGATCCGCCCACCTTGGCCACCCAAAGTTCTGGGATTTCAGGAGCGAGTCACTGTGTCCGGCCAAGAACTTTTTTTTTTTTTTTTTTTGAGACGTAGTCTCGCTCTGCCGCCCAGGCTGGAGTGCAGTGGCCGGATCTCAGCTCACTGCAAGCTCCGCCTCCCGGGTTCACGCCAATCTCCTGCCTCAGCCTCCCGAGTAGCTGGGACTACAGGCGCCCGCCACCGCGCCCGGCTAGTTTTTTGTATTTTTTAGTAGAGACGGGGTTTCACCGTGTTAGCCAGGATGGTCTCTATCTCCTGACCTCATGATCCGCCCATCTCGGCCTCCCAAAGTGCTGGGATTACAGGCTTGAGCCACCGCGCCCGGCCAAGAACTTGTTTTTTAAAAAGAGTTACACTTCAGGGTTGATATGGAGCAGATGAATAGGAAAGAATGTACTTCCCAAGTGTTCAGTTCTTTTCTTACCTCACATTCTTAAGTTTTCTGAGAAGCAAACACATGCTTTAATGCAAAACTCATTTCACACCTTCTATATTCGCCATTATCCTTCCTATTTCCTGTTTTGGGTAGAATTACTGAAGTAGAAATGGCAGAGACTGGGTTTTCTTTATCTTTTGTTGCAGTTAATGACAAGAGGCAACCAACCTTAGAGAAATCCATACAATGACGGGCCAGTGACTCACGCCTGTAATCCTGACACTTTGAGAGGCCGAGATGGGCGGAGAGCTTGAGCTCACAAGTTCAAGACCAGCCTGGGCAACATGGTGAAACCCCGAAACCCCCTCTACTAAAACTACAAAAATTAGCCGGACCTGTTGGCAGGCGCCTGTAACCCAGCATTTGGGAGGCCCAGGCAGGCGGATCACTTGAGGCCAGCAGTTCAAGACGAGCCTGACCAACATGGTGAAACCTCGTCCCTACTAAAAATATAAAAATTAGCCGGGTGTGGTGGCGGGCACCTGTAATCCCAGCTAATCCAGAGGATGAGGCAGGAGAATCGCCTGAACCCAAGAGGCGGAGGCTCAGTGAGGTGAGATCGCGCCACTGCACTCCAGCATGGGCTACAGAGCGATGATGTCTCCAAAAAACAAAACAAAAGTGCAGGTTTGGGAGGTAGTCTAATCCCCCACCCCTTTAGAACAAGATAATTTCCTCAGGGCCGCAGTTTACCAAAGGTGGTACACTCTGGGGTGCTATCCTTTCCATTTTTTACAATCCCTGACCCTGGAATTCCCTGATGCTTTATCCTGTCTTTCAAATTAGGGCCACTGGTTTCGTCCCCAGTTCACCCCTTCATCGCTAGCTCACATGCCCTTTGTGGTCCTTCTTTCTCCAAACCTCTTCAGGTCAAGTCCTTAGAGGACCTTCAACCTGACCAGCCCCCTTGGTTCTGGTGCTACAGCTGGACTCCTCACGCTCTTTCAAGTACCATCCATTGGGAACGTGGTGTACTTTAGAAAACGCGGACCCGGCCTACGGCTTGTCTCCGCGGGCACAAGGCCTCGGCTTCCAAGACAAACCAGCCCTGGCACCACCTTCTCATCTCCATCCCAAACCCTCCTCCTCAGTCCAAGGCCCTGTGGAGACAGACCTCCGAGGGCCCTAGAGCCTCAGACTTGTGGAGGCCCGGCCCCAAATTATGTAAAGAATATAATAAATGCCCCCGACCTTAAGTACAACTCATAGCTAGATGGGTTACGTTGCGGCTGACAGCTTACATTTTGGTAGGCTAATTAATTTCGATTTACAATTGGTTTTCCCTTTTGGTGGTCAAGACGCTGTTTCTGGCCTCAAAGAGCTTCGAGGGCTGGCACTGGCGCCTCCAGGGTCTAGAGGAGAAGGCGGGTCCGCGTCAGACCTCCCGCGACGGCCCTTCCACGCCTCCCGTTGCTCGTCTCTTCACCAACAACGGGAAGAGACTGTTGCTGGTCTCTTTTGCTCCCTTCCCACCAGCATCCACTGTTGCTCCCTTCCCACCAGCATCCCCTTCCTTCTGCCTTGCCCGGCCAGGCCCCCACACCCCCTGGTACCAGCCTGCCCACCCTGCGGCCCGCTCGCCTGGGACTCTCGTTAGCTGTGGGCGCCGTACCTTCCTGGCTCGAAACCTCCCTTTCGCCCCGCCCCACGCAGAGCGCCCCAACCCACAGCCCCGCCTCCTCGCCGCAGCCTCAGCGGAGTTCGGGACTGCGCGCGCTCCAACTCCGAAATCTTCGCGCCACGCCTCCCACAAGCCCCGTCTCACCCTCAGCCCCGCCCCCTCGCCGCGACCACAGCGGAGTTCCCGGGCGCGCGCTCCTACCCCGAGCTCTTCGCGCCATGACACCCACAGGCCCGCCCTGCCCTCAGCCGCGCCCCCCCGCGCCGCCGCGGCCTCCGCAGAGTTCCCGGGCTCGCTAGCTCCTACCCCGAGCTCTTCGCGCCACGCCTCCCCCAGGCCCCACCCCGCCTCAGCCCCGCCCCCTCGCCGCGGCCTCGGCCCCTCCTACCCCTAGCTCTTCGCGCCACGCCTCCCACAGGCCCCGCCCGCCCTTGACTCCGCCTTCTCCAGCTCCCATTACTTCGCGGGCCAAGATGCGCAACCACTCCCGAGGGCCTTTCCCCAGGGCAGTCCCAGGACTTGCGCTGCCTACCCTCCCCCAGCTCAGCTGTATCCCTGGGGCCGCAGGACCCAGGGGCTCCGCCCTCCCGCGAGCACGCACGCGCAGGGCCCACCTCTGCTAGTTCCAAACCCTCGGCCCTCGGGTCGCCTGCCTGGGGCCCGGCCCCGCCTCTAGACCCGGCCCCGCCTTCGTGCCGGGGCCCGCGCACGCGCGCCTCCCCGGCCCAGCCTTGCCCCCGTCCCAGCCGGTCCCGCGGTCCCACGGCGCCTGGTTGCCCCTAGCCCTCTCCCTCCTCCCACCTTCGCTGTGTCCCACCCTCCCTAGCTTTGTGCCCGGGGTGCTGAGCCCTTCCCCGTCAGCCGCGCCGCGGGAGGAGGGAGCCGCCACAGAGGAGCTGCCGCTCGCTGCCCCGGGCAGGGGCACAGGTAGGTGGCGGCCGCGGGCCGGGCCGCTCGCGGGGCCCCGGGTTGCGTGTGGGAGCGGGGGCGGGGTGTTAGGGAGCGGCGGGGTGGGGGAGGGGAAGCCCGAGAGGGACGGCGGGGCGCGGGTTGAGGGGAGGATGAGGTATATGGGTGTGGACGATGGGTTTAAGGGTGGCGTAGGGGTGCGGGGGCAGGCTATGGGGACGTGTGAGAATTGGGGTTCGGGGCCGGGGTGGGATAGGGAGCAGGATTAACCTGGGTGGGCTCGGGGAGAGGCATGCGTGGGGAGAGAGCGGAACGAAGGCATGCGTGGGGAGAGAGCGGGAAGAAGGAATGGGGAAAGGAAATGGGATTTTAGGGGTTCAAGGAGGAAAGGAGCTAGGATAGGAATAGAGAGGGTGGGGTCTTGGGGACAGGGAAGAAAAGTTGGGGGTGTGGAATGCCAAGTTAGGGATAGGCGTGAAGGAAGAGGATCTTGAAGATTGAGAACAGAAGGCAAGGAAAGGGTTGGAGAGATTGGGGGCCTAGGAGAGGGAAGCCCCTAGAGTGGGAAGACGGGAAGAATAGATGGTGGAGGGAAGGAGTGGGGGTGGAGGAGTTGGGGAAAGAAAGGGAGGCAGGTGGAGGTTGGGAGATTGGAGGTTGGAAGGGTTGGGTCTGTGGAACAAGCAAGCCACCTTTCAGCAGGAGCACGGAAGGGCTGGAAGGGTCTGAGGCTTGAGGTGGGCAGGGGAGCTGAGGTGAGCGAAGGGAGTGGGGTTAGGATTTTTGGTGTGAGAAGCGCTAGAGTTGTTAAGAGTCACATTGTGGGAGAGATTGGCATGTTCTTGGGGGGCAGTAGGGAGCCTGAGAGAGGAAAAGGTATGGGTGAGAAGGCAGGTAGTAAAGTGCATATTATAGGAAAAAAGTAGTGAGGAAAGTTGAAAATTGAAGAATGGGGACACACAGAACAATGAAGGTGGATTGTTGGTTATTGCTGATTTAGAACTACCCACAGTTTAGTTTCTGTTCAGGTTTTTATTTAGAAATTTTCCCAAGAATACTGCATTTTCAGATAAACTAAGTGTCGGCAGCCTTGGGATGAAGGCCATGGGCTGGCAGATGTTCTCCTGGTGTATGGATGTAGCTCATTTTGGGCCTGGCAGAGGGAAGAAGGGAGGCCTCGTTGTAACTGTCCTGGCTCTGTTCCCACCAGCTCTTTCCCTAGATGTGCACCGGTTTTCGTTTTTTTTTTTTTTCAATCTTATTCCTTCTCCCTCCCCTCAGGCTTCAACCAGTGAATACTAGAGGGATCAAACAGGTGGGTGAGATTAATTTTTCACATTTTTTTTTTCTATCCTTAAGGCTGATGTCATATTTTTAGTCTTGAGAAACAGCATCATGCCAAGGAAAGAGCTTGAGCTTTGCAGTAATGCGACCCTGAGATTGAATTCTGGCTCTGCCACTTACTAGCTCTGTTCTAGAGTAAGTTATTTTATTTCCGTGGGTCTCTTTGTCTATTAAAAGGCAATACTGACCTCATAGGTTCATTAGAGATTACATGAGATCACTTATATAGTACCTAACACAGTGCTTGGCAACTGGTAGGTGCTTAATAAATGGTAGCCATCATCCAGTATCGTTAAACATCATAGTTATTCCTACAACTTACTATTCTTAGGGGATTTTTATCTTACTTTATCTTCTGAAGTTAGGTATTTTCTTCTTCTTCTCTTCAAATTAGCTGTAAATTCAGCTCATAATTTTACCCTGTGGGCTCCCTGATAACCCCAGTTCACCTGACTGGGATAGTCATGCTTTTTGCTTGGAAAACTGGATTCAAGGTCTAAAAAACTGTCATGTGTAGTATCAATAATTTTATCTGGCCTTTTTCAAGAAAGCTGTATAGAACTGAGTTTTTAATGTAATACAGCTATGTTTCATTCATTTGATGAAATGGTACACTTCGTGGTAACTTTGGCTCTCTTGTGGTGACCAAATGCTAGAACATACGTGATTATAATATTTTTCTATGCTGTCGTATGGGTTACAAAGCTGCCTTATTGTAGCAGGCTGGGAGACTATCAAAATGTCGCTGTTACTCTTGATCCAATATATAATACAGCTACTACGATATACATTGGACATTGTTATTATTGTAGTGACTAAGTATTTTAATTTTTCAATTTGGATGGGGTTTTCACCGTGGTTTAGAACAGGTCCATTTGTAATACACCACCCTGTACACCATCCTGTACATTAGTGAGGGTCAAAAGAGAAGTAGAGAAGTTTTATGTAGAATTCTCTTGCCTTTCTGGTCCTTAGCCTTGAAGGGTTCAAATGTTAATTTAATGCTTAGATCATGTTATAGTACCTCATAGACTCTCAGGAAGCTCCTTTTTGGGAGAATGCAGGATGTGCTGATTTAGTAGTAGAAATTAAAGGACACCAGGATTCCTGAACCAAAGTCAATTCCTCCAGTGGCTTCTGGACAAATGATGTGGGTTTACTCTCCAGGAAAAAATTGTATTTATTTTTTCCTCATTTAGAAAGAGAAATGGTATTTGATGGGTAATCTAAAGAAAAACAAACAAAAAACCAGAACCGTTCCCTTTTTTTGAAAATGATCCCTGGAAGCCAAAGCATCCCAGATTTTGAGGAGCCCAGATTAGGGTCCTTACTCTAGTCCCAAGCTGCTTGTGCCCTCTGCTGGATGGAATCAGACTTCTAATTTTCATCTGAAGTGGTCACCCACTCACCCAGCCATCCATCCATTTGTCCATTTTACAACAGTATTTGTGGAAGACACTATTGGGGTGAGGGTTGGGGGCAATACAGATGGGCAGACCCTGTTTCATTGCTCAGGGAGTTCACAGTGTATTCATCCACTATAATAGGGTATCTTCCATAGAATTTGTCTTTCTGTTGTTAAAATCACGTCAGTCCTTTTTAGGGCCATACCTAGCATCTGCTTTCTGATCTACAGGTAGAGTAGAGCTCTGAATGTTAAATGACAGGGATAAAAACCAAAGGACATCTGTTTTACTTCCTCAGTCAAAATTAAGGTCTGCAAGGTTGGAGGGTCCAGATGCTCATCCCTACTGGAAGAAGAGCTCAGAATAAATGAGGCATCTCCTTAGCAGCAGGCGCTGTAAATGCCGGCAAGAGAAAAGTATGGGTTGTAAGAGCTAGCACTGTGACAGAATTTTTTTCCCCGTTTTTTAGTTTAGTTGTCTCCCACCCCTTGTAGTACCAGTAGCAATATACTCCCATCGTGTGCTTTGCCTCTGCCACCTGCAGAATGGTCTGGCAAGTGGGGGAGGAGCCTGCAGCTGTTGCCTGGAAAAGGAGCTGGCTCCTAGCAACGGTATCAGCAGGCCCTGCAACTGAGAGCACTAAGTTTGTCCTTTGAGGTCTTACCCTTCCTTTCATACAGTTCAGCAAATATCTTTTGAGGGCTTACTTAGTACTAGGCACTATGTCAGGCCTGGGAAAGATAGATGAATCAAATAAGTACCTTGCCTTCAAAAAGCTCACCACTCGGGTACATTAACAAGTGAACAGACATAGTACATGGTTCTAAGTGCTATGTAGGAGAGACTAGGTGCTCTGGGAAAACCAGACAGGCACATACTGGTGCAGGGGTTAGGGAAGGTTTCCCAGAAGAGGGACAATGTTAATGATGAGTAGAAATTAGCTAGGTCAGGGAGGCAGAGCAGGATGTTCCAGCCAAAGGGAACAGAATGGGCAATGGCCAGTGGGACATGAGAGCATGGCCAGTTTACCTGGGTAGTATGACAGGGCCAAAGATTGTAGGACATAAGGAGGTGAGCAGGAAAGGGTGAGGCTCTAGAGCTAGGCAGAATACTTCTCTCGTGCTTTTATACACATAATTATCCTTGAGAGAAACATGGATAGTACTGATTCCCACACACAGGACCATTGTTTCATCTCCAGAGACTCAGCATTTTTGATCACGGACTTAAATGTGGCTGACACTCGTAAGTGGCTTCAGGGCCACATTGTGGCCCCACATTGATGCAGAAGAAGCTGAGTTGGTTCACTCTAAAACTCAATCAGATTCTTTTAGGGATATTATCAGGCCTGTATGATATTCTACCTCTCTTCTCCCTTAAAATTGTAGAAATGATCATCAAATAAATACCTTCATTTTATTTAACATAGCACTTTTTCATGTATTTTGAAATCTCACGGTTACTCAGGAGGAAAACAAGTATTCCAGTTCTTGGGCACATAATATTACCCACATGACTGCAGAAATGCCCAACTGTTTGACTTTTTTATGTTAAAACTGCCCTAATAGAACTTTAATAGATACAAAGTGTCCAAAGGCTAGAATAGCTTTTATGTAGCTCTTGTAGTGGAGGTGTTTTATTTCTAGATTTAAAAAAAATCCTGTTACTTTTGGTCTTTGTAAAATTTAGCAAATGAGTAAACGTTGGTTGCGCACTATCTGCTCAGGGACTATAAGATGCCAGGGCACTGTGTTATAGAGTCTGCATGAATTCAGCATGGTTCCTCCTCTCAAGGAGCTCAAAGCAGCAGATGGCAGACTCAGAAACAAATAAATAGAACAGTGAACCAAACGCAACCAAGAAGTTTGTGGACTGTGTCAAGCTAGCCAGGAAGTTATTTATTTCTAGTCTTTTTTCTGTGTGTAAACACGTTTTTTAAAAATTTATAATTTTAATCACTTTATCACATTCCATGGTAAGTATAAGTCGTAATGTATTTATTAACATCCCAATTATTGGACATTTAGGTTATTTTCCAATTGTTTTGCTAATATAAACTTACTGCCATTAATTTACACATAAATGAATCTTTGCTGACATCTGTGACAACTTCCTTAGTGTGAATTTTAAAGATGAGATTTTGACCTGGGGTTTTTGTTGTTGTTGTTGTTGTTTTGGAGTCTTGCTCTTGTCACCCAGGCTGGAGTGCAGTGAAACGATCTTGGCTTACCGTAACCTCTGTCTCCTGGGTTCAAGCGGTTCTTTTGCCTCAGCCTTCCGAGTAGCTGGAACGACAGGCACACACTCGGCTAATTTTTGTATTTTTAGTAGAGATGGGGTTTCACCATGTTGGCCAGGCTGGTCTCGAACTCCTGACCTCAGGTGATCCACCCGCCTCGGCCTCCCAAAGTGCTGGGATTACAGGCGTGAGCCTCTGCGTCCGGCCTTGACCTGGGTTTTGAAAGATGAGTAGGAGATGGCCAGATAAACAAGAAAAAGGGGAGAGTAGGAAGGGGCATTCCAGGTAGAGGCAATAAAGGCAACCTCGAATGCCAAAGTTCCCAGGCAACTGGTAAGTTTTGCTTTTCCTAAAACAGCCACCAGTCCTGCCTGGTAGGCTCATAAAGCCCTGGGCACAGAAAGATGAAGTTACATGTTACAAATGGCATTTTAATTGGATTTGCTTCCCTGTGCCTTGCTTTCACAGTTGCTACCAAGGCAATGTCTTACTACCTCAGCTCAGAAAACCACCTAGACCCAGGGCCCATCTACGTGCGAGAAAATGGGCAGCTGCACATGGTCAATCTGGCTCTGGATGGTGTCAGGAGTAGCCTGCAGAAGCCAAGGCCTTTCAGACTATTCCCCAAAGGCTTTTCTGTGGAGCTTTGCATGAACAGGGAAGACGACACTGCACGGAAAGAGAAGACTGATCATTTCATCTTCACATATACCCGGGAGGGGAATCTTCGGTACTCCGCCAAATCCCTCTTCAGCCTTGTCCTGGGCTTCATCTCCGACAATGTGGATCACATTGATTCCCTTATTGGCTTTCCTGAGCAGATTGCCGAAAAGCTGTTCTCTGCTGCTGAAGCCAGACAGAAATTCACTGAGCCAGGTGCAGGGCTGAGGGCTTTACAGAAATTCACTGAGGCCTATGGAAGTTTGGTGCTTTGCTCCCTGTGTTTGCGAAACAGGTGGGTGTTCTAATTAGGTTATTCAGCATTTTATTGGGTGTGTAAATTCTGTCAAGCTCTGGGGCTTAGTGGGCTCAGGGGCTTCCCTCATCAAATAGCACTTCAGTTTAGAACTTCCATATACAAAGTGAAAGACCATATTGAAAAAATCACTCTTCCTTCTCCTCACGTCTTAGACGAGACGACACTTAACTTTATTCTGAAATCATTTTACAAGGATTAGTTGTCACAGCTCCTCCATTAAGTAGAAAATATTCTTCTACCAGCTTTCAAAGAGAAAATAGAAAAGACAAAATGTGATCTGCCAAATATCTCTTGATATGCTCTTGCAGGTGGGGAGATTAGTATCCAGAGTTTTGGGGCCTGTTTTTGGTTTTCAGACCACTAAATACTGACCATTAGATAAAAAATGACCTTAAAAGATTGGGTGATTAAAATTTCAAATATCCTAAAGTTTGGCAATTCTCAGATAAAGTCCCTACATTAAGGTCTATAGTCTAACAAAGCAGATATTTTTTCTCTTGTGACTTGCCTTTGCTCATATGCTTTATTTAAAATTTTTACTCTACCATCATGTAAAAACACTTTCAAAACATCTAATTTCTTTTTAAACTTGCAAAAAACAATAAAAATATACAAGGCAAACAATTTAAACACAAACACAGAGGGGCATAAAATGAAACAGAAGCCTTCTTCCTATCTCATCTCCAGTTTCCTCTCCCCAGAGACCAAATACTGTTACCAGTTTTTAAAATACCATTCTAGAGATGTTCTACGCACATACATGTTTGTGTAGTTCCCTTCTTTGTTATACAAATGGCAGCATCCTGCGTACATTCTAATGGACCTTGCTTTCTTCACATAATTTGAAAATCATTTATCATCAATACTGGTAGGTTTTTTTTTTTCTTCTTCTTTTGAGACAGTCTCACTCTGTCACTAGGCTGGAGTGGCAGTGGCATCTCAGCTCACACTGCAACCTCCAACTGCCTGGTTCAAGCGATTCGCCTGCCTCAGCCTCCCCAGTAGCTGGGATTACGGGCATGTGCCACCATGATTTTTGTATTTTTAGTAGAGACAGGATTTCACCATGCTGGCCAGGATGGTGTCGATCTCTTGACCTCGTGATCCGCCCACCTCAGCCTCCCAAAGTGCTGGGATTACAGGCGTGAGCCACCGTGCCTGGCCTACTTGTAGGTTTTTAAAATAGCTTTATTGTATACTACTGTATGAACTATTCTGTGATTAGACCTGAAAGGCAGCTTACTGTTTTTTTTCTTTTTTTTTTTTTGAGATGGAGTTTCACTCTTGTTTCCCAGGTTGGAGTGCAGTGGCGCAATCTCTCACTGCAACCTTCGCCTCCCAGATTTAAGCAATTCTCCTGACTCAGCCTCCTAAGTAGCTGGGATTACAGGCACCCACCACCACGCCCGGCTAATTTTTTGTATTTTTAGTAATACAGGGTTTCACCACGTTGGCCAGGCTTGTCTCAAACTCCTGACCTCAGGTGATCCACCCGCCTCAGCCTTCCAAAGTGCTGGGATTACAGGCGTGAGCCAGTGTGCCCAGCCGGCAGCTTATCTGTATGAGCATTATAACAAGGGCTGAACAAAAAATGTATATAAGAGAAAGCCATATCTGAAAACAGAAGGTAAGCTCATATGCTTAATAAAGGAAAAATGATCTTTATTTAATCAGCTCATAGAATTAATGGTTTCACCACAGGCCAAATACTGTATTTTAAAAAGAAAAGACATAAACACATGTAGAAAAGGACAGAAACTTGGCTCATAAACTGAGCAGGCACCTTGAAAGCTCTGTCTCTGGACTATGGTCTCAGTCGTGGCTGGGCTTGGAGCTGCTGCCAGTGGAAAGGAAAAAAATTACCTTGCCTAAAGGAAAAAGTCAAGCAATATTTCATTGTAGCTTATGCATTTAAAATACATTTTACCCTTCATTTTTTCTTCCAAGTTATTTATGTTCGTTGTTGAAAAGTTAGAACAGTGGCAAAATAGAATTGTGATGTATATCTTGTTTTAAAATTATTTTATGAAAGCAATATATACTATTTGGGGAATACATAAAATTATGGTACTAAAAAATTCATAATTTCACGTGATCATTTTCAAATATATTATTTTTATGCATTTGGGAATATATACTTTGTACAACTTGTATTCTGTTTTTTCCCCACCTACCTTTATAGCTTAATATTTCCCATGCTATTGAAAATGCTGTTTATCCATTTGCAATATCTGGATACTGTTGTAGTGGCAGATTGGTCGGATTGGAATGAGAATAGCACTTTTCATTCACATTTGATGAGGACATAAATTAGTGTAGCATTTCTGGAAGCAGATTGGCAATATGTATCAAGAACCTTGAAAACATTCATACTGTTTGTTTGACCCATTAATTCTACTTACTAAGAATCTATTCTAATCCCTAATGTAATAATCAAAGACGGGAACGGATATTTTTACAAAAGAGTGTTCATTGTAGTACTGTTTGTATGAGTGAAAATCTAAAAACTAAGTGTTCAACAGTAGGGAATTGGTTAAGCAAATTATAGTATATTTACATGATGAAATATTATGTAACTATTAAGATAATATTCTAAGAAAGAGATTTTTAAAATGTATGTACTGCATAGATAGAAAGAAAAAAGAAACCTACCAAAAAGTAGTCTAGATGGTGGGATTAGAATTGATTTCATATTCTTTATACTTTTCTATATTTTATTTTTTTCAATGAAAGTGATACATTATCAGAAAATGTAAGAAACATTTACATTTATATAATAATCAGAAAATATAGGAAACTTTTTTTTTTTCCTTTTTGAGACAGGGTTTCACTCTGTTGCTCAGGCTTGAGGGCAGTGGCGTGATCTTGGCTCACTGCAGCCTCCGCCTTCCAGGTTCAGATGATTCTCCCACCTCAGCCTCCCAAGTAGCCGGGACTACAGGCGCCTGCGACCGTGCCCAGCTAAGTTTTGTATTTTTTGGTAGAGATAGGGTTTCACCATGTTGACCAGGCTGGTTTTGAACTCCTGACCTCAAGTGATCCACCCACCTCAGCCTTCCAAAGTGCTGGGATTACAAGCGTGAGCGACCATGCCCAGCCAGAAAATACAGGAAACATTTTGAATATAATCTTTTAGCCCGTATTTTATTGCTGCAATTCCAGACTTGACTGTCTCATTCAAATGTAAGACTTTGAATTGTGATAAAAACCCCTCTTCTTTTGAATCCTTGAAGGAAAATAGAGGGCAGGAAATTTGAGGTTGCATTTGCAATCCAGGGCTGTAGCTGCAGTCCAAGAGGTTTTGTCAGCACAAAGGGGTTCAGGTCAAAAGTAATGAACTTGAAAAAATAAATGAAAATAAAATAACTGGGTAGGTGCAGGCACTTGCTATGTTGGGGTTAAGTCACAAAGCTACCTGCCGGAAGCAAGTGTCTTTGCAACTGGATTCCAACCTTATGAAAACTCTCTTCTTTGTGTTGAAACCCCAGTGATTTTTAATCCTGCTGGTGGTCACGGGGAGGCAAGTATGTTTTCTTTAAAATACCACCTTTTGTTATTGACATAATAGTAATAGCTACTATTTCATGAGGTCCTGCAAGATGCCATGGAATTTTTAAATATTGTTTCTCTTTTTCTCAATAATCCTGAAAAGAAGTAATCATTGGCCCCATTGTGTAGCTGGAGAAATTGAGGGTCAGAAAGGTTAAGTAACTGTCTCACAATCACACAAGTAATTGGGCTGTTAGAATCCAAACTCAGATCTGGTCTGTGCTCTTTCTATTGCCTTTCCACTATACCGTTCTGAACCCTTTAAGGGAAAATTTGGAAGACTGGTTGCAAGCAAGATCCTAGAGCTTTGATTATGTCCTATATTAGCATCTAGTAGTGTCTGTGGCCTAACACGTTTGTTCCTCAACCTTGAGTTTCGTAATGTTTCTTAATCACATTACACAGTGTTATGTCCTTTGCAGAGAACCCTTGTTTCCGAATTACTAAAAATCTTTTGGTTAATTGATCAAAGGATACGTGTTTTCCTTTCTCTGATTGCCAGTAATCCCCTAAATCCCCATTAACACACTTCAACTCTGTGATTGGAAGGTGAAAAACAGCAGCTGTATTTACAGTGCAATTAAAATACATCTGAGTAAATAAGGCTCTTTTGTGTACCCAGCTGAGCTCGATCTCCAGACAGCTTAGGTTCCACCCTTTAAAGGGGTATCAGTGCCTCAGGCCATCTGTACCTAGCAGCCAGGCCAGTCATTAGTTTGAGTACATCTTTTTTTGTTTGGAAGTAGGAAGAAAAGAGATTAACTCCCCTCTTGCCCTCTGATTATTCCATCCTGTTTTTGGCAGTTGTGATCCTGCTGATGGAAGAGAGGTGTGACCTCTTAGGTGTAACCCCACTGATCCTAACACACCATCTTACTGTGGAAGCTTCTAGACATCCAAGAGGAAGGTGAATGAGAGAGGCCTGCTCTTGCCACAAGTCAGTTTCCCTGTCCTCTTAGGTTCCTCTCCTCTCCGTTTCCTGTCACACCTAATCCCTTTCATTTTTTCTCACTGACCTCATCTGAGATAGATGAACCACTAGAAAGCAGGGCGGAGGCCCCAGCCTGGGCTGTGGAATGCTGTTTTGATCTCCTTTCCCTCTCCAGAGGCTTCCCTGACGCTTCCAGATAACAACTTGGCAAGGTGCTACAACGTAATTAAGTTGCTGGTGCTCAGGGTTTGTCTTAATATCCATCTAGACTGGAGTGAGTCCTTGTGGCAGTCTTGCTGTACATACTTTTGGAGTAAAGTTAGGGTAACAAAGGCACAGGGGAGTGTTCAGGAAAGATAAAATGTGATGTGCCAAATATCTCTTGGTATGTTCTGGGGGATGTGCAGATTAGAAACCGGTCTTGACCTTGCTCCAGTTTTCAAATCACAGGATGTTGAGCATTAGATTAAAAGCGACTTTAAAAGAATTAGTAATTAAAAATTTGAGTATCCTAAAGTTTGGAAATTCTCAGGTAAGGTCCCAACACCAATGCCAAGGTCTGTCTGATAACAAAGCAGATGTCTTCACTTGTGACTTTCCTTTGCTAATATACATTTTTTAATTTATTATTCAGAATTTTTATTTCACCATCACATAAAAAGATGTTCAAGGCATTTACTAATTGAAAACTTAAGCCTTTGCCCTGATAGTAATTAGTGAAGTCTGCTTATTCCATAGTACTGTGTCCTGATAGGGTGGTGGGATGTTGACTATGATAGAAATCAGCAAATGGTAATGCTTTAAGAGGAGTTGGGGGAAGCTATTGATTGCTCTCCGTGCTTTATAGGTATCTGGTGATTTCAGAAAAACTTGAGGAAATTAAGTCTTTCCGGGAGCTGACCTGCCTGGATCTTTCATGTTGCAAGCTTGGAGATGAGCATGAACTTCTAGAACATCTCACCAATGAAGCCCTGTCTAGGTACTGACCTGTTACCACTTGTAGATGAATTGTTTCAGTATTGTTTTAAAGGCTGATCCAACAGGATTATCTTCAGGAGTGCTGATTACGTCCTCTTCTTATGTTGATTTGCTTATTTTTTTCTAAAACATTTTCAATCTCCAAATCTCCATTTACTTGGTACAAGCAATGTAGATTAGACAACCCTTAGAAAGTCAGTCAGTTGACTCAAGTCAGTTAGTTGATTCTCTTTTTCTAAGTAACTTTTATTTAAACATGTAATACTTGAAGCTACCTGGGTTGAAAAATGGTTTTGCCCTTTATTTATTCTTTTTTTTTTTTTTTTTTGAGACAGTTTCGTTTTTGTTGCCCAGGCTGGAATGCAATGGCACAATCTCAGCTCACCACAACCTCCACCCGCCAGGGTTCAAGCAGTTCTCCTGCCTCAGCCTCCCAAGTAGCTGGGATTACAGGCATGCACCGCCACGCCCAGCTAATTTTGTATTTTCAGTAGATACGGGGTTTCTCCATGTTGGTCAGGCTGGTCTCGAACTCCTGACCTCAGGTGGTCCGCCTGCCTTGACCTCCCAAAGTGCTAGGATTACAGGCGTGAGCCACTGCACCCAGCCCTATTTATTTGTTTTTTTAGATGGAGTCTTGCTTTTGTTGTCCAGGCTGGAGTGCAGTGGTGCGATCTCAGCTCACTGCAACCTCCAGTTCCTGGGTTCGAGCTATTCTCTTACCTCAGCCTCCTGATAGCTGGGATTATAGGCGCCTCTCACCACGCCAGCTAATTTTTGTACTTTTAGTAGAGACGGGGGTTTTGCCATGTTGGCCAGCCTGGTCTCGAACTTCTGACCTCAGGTGATCTGCCCGCCTCGGGTTTTGCCCTTTATTTATCCAGTCCTAGTTTATTCTAGCAAGGGATGAGACATTATACCATAGTCAATAATCATTATCATTTGCTACTTTAACTATCAATGAGCTCCAACTATAAAGGAAATGAGCTATTAAAGATAGCCAAAGAAATTATTTGTGGAAATGAGCTATTAAAGATAGCCAAATAAATTATTTTCAGGAACCATGATTTAAAGAAATAGCCCAGTTTGTACCATTCACAAATAGTCTGACTGCTCTCAGATTATTCTGACCAACAAAGAGGAGGACAGATGGATTCCTCTGTGGTTTTATAAACACCCAGAACAACAGCATTACAAACCTGGGTCTAACCTGCTACCTGAGGCCTGCTTCTGACAGTGACACCTACCTACTGCCCCATAAAAAGATACTGTTGTTGAGCCTAGGCAGCACCAAGGCTCAGATTTCTTATGTGAAAACGGAGCATATTAATACACCAATTCCAGCTTAGCAGCAGATGGATTGGGTTATGGGTATATTTTATTAACCCAATCTGAAAATCTAGATTGATAAAGGTGGTTAAATTTAGAGGATTGTGTGCTCTGCAAAAAGAATTCTCATAGGAGTTCTTTAGCAGCCTTTCCTGACATATTTAGAATGTTTTTGATTTTCACACGATGTGTCAGAAAAGCAGCTTTTGTTTTAAACTATATTTATCCCCTTAGTGGAAGTCCATTTATTCAACAATATACCTTTAGTGCCCTCTGCCCTCTGAAATTAGTACTGCATGACACTAAATTAACCCTTACTTGGTAACTGAAGTGGCACCAAAAAATCTCTTTTTTTTTTTTTTTTTTTTTGTGAGTCTCCTAGGCTGGAGTGCAGTAGTGCGATCATAGCTCACTGCAAGCTTTGAAATCCTTGGTTGAAGCCATCTTCCTGCCTCAGCCTCCCAAGTAGCTGGGACCACAGGCATACAGCACCTTGGCAAGCTAATTTTTAAAAATTTCTTTTAGGGATGGAGTCTCTAACTCCCAGGCCCAAGTGATCCTCCAGCCTCAGTCTTCCAAAGTGCTGACATTACAGGTGTGAGCCACCATGCCCAGCCCAAAAGAGCTTAACTCTGTTAAATGCATTGGGTATGAAATAGCAAGAGGTAGAAGATATGTTGTATTTTTAAATGAAAATGTTGAAAGCATGTTTTTATAACTAGACTGTCTCAAACTCTGAGTAATTTATGTATGTACTTTGTTTCCCTAGTGTAACTCAGCTCCACCTGAAAGATAATTGTTTATCTGATGCTGGGGTGCGGAAGATGACAGCACCAGTTCGAGTGATGAAAAGAGGCCTTGAGAATCTAACGTTATTAGACTTATCATGTAAGTTTTCTTCGAAAATATAGATTATTTTAATGTTGGATGAATGGCCTTAGAGATCATCTTGTTCTTCCCCTTCATTTTAGAGGTAAGAAAGGAAAGGTGACTTTCCAGGGTGCCATAGAAACTTGGTGGCAGAGCGGAACCGAGGCCAGAGACTCTTGACTCCTGGTCAAATGACTTTTCCAGCATATACCACCTCTTTAGGGTAGGAAAAACCCTTTCACATTCATCCATGTCACTCGCTGTGTGCAAACAGAGATACCTTTCATCATATTCATTGCATACTTAAAGGACTTTTGACTCATCTTTATTTTCCTTGAGCCTCTGATCCTTGGTATCTGTCAGCTAGGTCCTTTTTTATCAATGTTTGCCTGATGAAAAGCTGGATGAATGGATAACTTACTCGAATTAACAAGACATTGACTCCAATGGTAAGAGGTTGACAGAGATCATTTGCAATTGAACTGAGCATCCATTGACTCTATGGCAGGACAGTATGGTGCCAAAAGAATAGAAAGAGCAGGGGTTTGAGGTCCGAGGACCCTTCTTGCTCTGCCACTTTTACTACCAGTTATATACCTTCGGACCAGTTATTTAACCACTTTGAGCATTGGTTTTGGCCTTTGTAAAATGAGAATAATAATGAGTGTCCTGTCTGCCTCCCAGGGAAGTGTATTCATTCACCAGATATTTTTTGAGCGTCTATAATGTGCCAGGCAGTATGCTTATGGCCTTGAGGACTCGATGCTAAGTGTAGCACTCTCTGACGCGAGAAAGTAATATATAAGAAAGGATTCTGAAAAAAAATGCAAGTTGGTAAGAGTGTTGATAGTATCTGTGTCTAAGTTCCCTTGAATATATTTTTAAAATAAATGCTTTTACTTTGGAGGTGAAATGGCCATGAATAAAGTATGGTGAACCATTTTAATACATGTTTATATATGTTTTCATATGGTTCTAAATTAAACCCTTTGGGATAACTACCTGGTTCATTTATTTTTCTGCTCATCCCCAACTCCTAGAAAGTAAGAGCTGTAAAGGATCTTTAAGGATCGTTGAATGTAGCTCTTCTATATTATGAATAGTAAAGATCAGACTTCTGTATTTAATTTACTTTGAAAAGTTTGCCAACTCAAATGTTTTGTAGTTTATCATTGCCTGGACTTTTTTCTGAGCTTATTTTTGGTTGTCATTTTAACAACATTTATATTGTAACAGAATGCTACCTTGTTTTTGACATCTAGGTAACCCTGAGATCACAGATGCAGGCATTGGATACCTCTTTTCTTTTAGGAAACTAAACTGCTTAGATATCTCTGGGACAGGGCTCAAGGTAAGACTTTTGGTTCCTTCACTCATTTTTCTAGACTCAGCAATTTGATATTGCCTGTGCTAATTGGTATTTAGAAAGGTCTGGTATTTATGATGGTCTTTATTTACTACTGAAAGCAAGTAAGAATTAACCAAATGCATTTGCATTTCTGATCTGTCTCTGCCTCACTAGGACATCAAAACCGTCAAGCACAAGCTCCAGACCCACATAGGCCTTGTTCACTCCAAAGTGCCTTTGAAGGAATTTGATCATAGTAACTGCAAGACAGAGGGCTGGGCTGACCAGGTACTCCAGATTTTTCTTCCCTGCTGTTGATGCAGCTTTTCATCTTAATTCCAAGTGTCTTATCCAACACATTGAATAAACAGTAATCCACTTGGTATTCCTTGGCTAAATTGTCGTCTTCATGTCAAATTGGAGACACTGATGGGCTATAACTGGCCCATATACTTAAAGAATTGATGCCAGACCTTATATCTCATGCTCTGGTCACTAGATTATGCCTTATCTTTACTGGACCTAGGAGAAAATGTCATCTTACAAATGACTCAGAAAATAAGTGAATTCTGGCTTGCTATACAAAAAAGCAGTCTGACCCAACTTCAGAAGGACGGATTCTCTTAGTAGTATGTATATACAGGAGAGAGAATAAACTCTGGTGTCAGCAAATAAGGATTCAAATATGATTCTTCTCTTTCTTTTGGGAAAGTTTCTTACCTCCCACGGCCTTAGTGAGGAAGTGTCTCTCGTGTCCCTCTCTCACTGAGTCTTACCAGTGAGAGAACTTTACTTTGACTCCCTTTTGTCTTGATGGTCTTTCTTCACTTGGTAAAGTACAGACTTAAGTGAGATTCAGAGTCTTCTATGTAAGTTGGAAGTGAGAAAGTAACCAAGTAGGACAGCACAAGTAGATGTCACCTTCCCTGTGACTGGTGCCTTTCTCCTTTAGATGCTTTTAACCAGTGTTTCTTGGTGGAGGCCTAGAGGACCCACCAAACTGTCCAGGATCCCTTCTTAGCTCCAAGCCATAATGCATAATGGTAGAACTGTCTACCTGCTGGATTGTAGCATCACCTCTCCACAGTAAGCAGGGAGACTGGTGAGTTGTGTTTCAGAAGCACACTGAGCTTGGTCCAGAACATGCATGATGAAAGAATTACCATGGTGCATTGCCAGATAAAGTTTCTAGTGCTGTATGAGACCTAGATGCATCCAGTGGACTTGGGACAGGTGTGGGATGGTCTTACAAAGGCTTGCTGCAGTTTGATAGCAGGTGACATGGTGGAAAGAGCATAGGCTGTGGAGCCAGAAAGACCTGGGCACGGAATCCTGGCTCAGCAGCCCAATAGCTGTACAACCTAAAGCAACTTTCAGTCTCTGTCTTCATCCATAAAATGCAGAAACCAGGCTCTCTCTTGAGCAGGGCTTGGGAAGGATCAAGTAGAATACCTGACAGCCTGACCTGAGAGTAAGTTGATGACCAGTGCAGTCCTGCCCTCCACCCTCAGCTGGGCCCCTAGGACTTGGTAGCACTGCTTTGCTTTGCTTATGTCTTGGGGATCTGTTATTGAAACTGTTGCAGACTGACTCCACTCACCTGCCCTCATTCTTGTCTCACAGGGGTCCACTTAATTCCCTATTTCTGTCTCAGAATTTCTCCATTTCTTCAACCGTATTCTACTTCCCTACTATTGGAGAGAACAAGTATTCTCCTTTATTGTAGTCACAAGCCCTTTTTTTTCTTTTTTAAAAAATTTTATTCCTGAAGATATCCAGTTTCCCTTGTGATAATTACTAATAGTTTTTCCCTCCTGCCCCTGCCCACCATGTCTTCATTTGTCCCTCTTTGTTGTCCATCTGCTTTCTGTAGATAAATGCAAGGTGTCCTTATTCTAGCATGGTTCTCATTCCCCAGTGCAGCTGTGCATTGTTTCCTGTCCAGTCTGCCCCATCCCCTCGGTGCCTACTCAGTTCTTACTCCCTTGCGACTTAGTTCTGGCCTCTCCTGCTCTCCTGACAGGGTCCTCTTGAAGGTGGGTGGTGATATTCTTTACCTTCTTTGGCTTTCCTGCAGCATTTGATAGAAACATGCATGCCTTATTATTTTTCTCTGGGCCTCTCTCCTGGCTCTCCCACAGCTTTCTCACTCTTCTGGCTGTGGCTGATTCCTCTTTCTTCCTCTCCTCTTCTCCCACATCTCAACACTCCCCAGGTGCTCTTTCAGTGTTCTTAGAGCTCCAGCTGTCCTTGCGAGGATGACTCTGCATTCCTCTCTAGACACTACACCCCTTCCCAGGTATCCTCTGTAAATCTCCACCTGCCATCTCAAATTCAGCTTGTCCCAAACCAAACTCATTTTCTTCTTCCCCATCCCCGACCAGCTCTTACTGACATTCTTATTTCTGTTTAGTGGAAGGAAGCACCATTTTCCCTATTGTCCACTGAGTCAACACGTTTGATTAATCCGTCCTGGTGTTCCCTGAAATCTGTTCCCATTTTTATCACCAGGAAATTATAGAAGAGATGGCAACTAATATTTATTAAGTGCCTTTTGTATACCAGACACTGTGCTAAACTCTTTATGTATATTATCTTGTTTAATCCTTAAAATAGCCCTATGGAGTGTGTACTATCGTTGATCCTTAACAGATGAAGAAATTGAGACTAAGAAATCACTTGCCATGGGTCCCCTGGCAATTAAGTAGTGGAGCCAACTCTGGAACTGGTTTTTTGTTTGTTTTTAGATAGAGATGGCGTTTCGCCATGTTGCCCAGGCTGGTCTCGAACTCCTGGGCTCAAGGAATCCTACCACCTTAGCCTCCCAAAGTGCAAAGATTATAGGTGTGAGCCACTGTGCCTGGCCTGGAACTGTATTCTTTTTTTTTTTGAGACAGAGTTTTGCTCTGTCACCCAGTCTGGAGTGCAGTGGCGTGATCTTGGCTCACTGCAACCTCCGCCTCCCGGGTTTGAGTGATTCTCATGCCTCAGCCTCCCAAGTAGCTGGGACCACCACGCCTGGCTAAATTTTGTATTTTTTAGTAGAGACAGGGTTTCATCATGTTGGCTAGCCTGGTCTCGACTGCGATCCGCCTGCCTCGGCCTCTCAAAATGCTGGCATTACAAGTGTGAGCTACTGAGCCTAGCCTGGAACTATATTCTTAAATTCAGTGTTGTACTGCCTATGTCCTGAAAATGTTTTTCTTGACCATTTTTTATGATCATTTCATTGCATTCCATAATAAAAAAAATATTAAATTTAAAGTTCTTGTTATTTGTGGTATACTGAGAGGATCATTAGCTTTTCTTGCTTTTTTTTTTTTTTTTTCTGAGACGGAGTCACTCTGTCGCCCAGGCTCGAGTGCAGTGGCATGATCTCAGCTTACTACAAGCTCCGCCTCCTGGGTTCACGCCATTCTCCTGCCTCAGCCTCCCGAGTAGCTGGGACTACAGGCGCCCACCGCCACACCCAGCTAATTTTTTTGTATTTTTAGTAGAGACCAGGTTTCACCGTGTTAGCCAGGATGGTCTCGATCTCCTGACCTTGTGATCCGCCTGCCTCGGCCTCCCAAAGTGCTGGGATTACAAGTGTGAGCCACCGCGCCCGGCCTAGCTTTTCTTTATGTATAGTTTATATTCAGGCATATTTCTTTTCTTTTTTTTTTTTGAGACCGAGTCTCGCTCTGTCGCCCAGGCTGGAGTGCAATGGCGTGATCTCAGCTCACTGCAAGCTCCGCCTCCCAGGTTCACGCCATTCTCCTGCCTCAGCCTCCCGAGGAGCTGGGACTACAGGCGCCCACCACCATGCCCAGCTAATATTTTTTTTTTGTATTTTTAGAAGAGACGGGGTTTCACTGTGTTAGCCAGGATGGTCTCGATCTCCTGACCTCGTGATCCGCCCGCCTCGGCCTCCCAAAATGCTGGGATTATAGGCATGAGCCACCGAGCCCAGCCACTTATTTCTAAAAGAATTGGTAGCAGCTTATAATAAAAATATATTTGTAACAGTTTAAAAAGTAAAAACTGGTCATGATAATGTTATGAGAGTATGGAAACATGGACGTTTTACATACAAGAGTTTGAGTTATAGTTGGAGTATTTTAAGGCACGAGAGTAAGTCTAGGAATGTGTGGAAAGTGTTATGACTAAAGTTTTAAGTTTTAATATTTAGTTTAAGGGTATGTAATTTATTTCCAGCTTGGAATAAAGATGAAAATAGACAGGGAAATCAGCTTTATAGATTTCCCTTAGTCATGCAGATACATATATCCAATGTGTTTGCATTCTGACTCAACTCCTGCATTAGAACAGAAAACTCAGACTTGACTTGGTTCTTATTCTTATCACCAGGCATCTGAAGTAAAATTTCCCAGAGGGGTTTGTGTTTATGGAGAGGGAAAAAGGGGGAACAAGAAAGGCTTGAGATTAAAATCTCGAGATTTTGTTTGGATTCAAATCTTTCCAAATATGTTTCAGATCGTTCTGCAGTGGGAGCGTGTGACTGCGGAAGCTGTGAAGCCACGGGAAACCTCAGAGCCTAGAACGGCAGCTCAGCGCTTCTGTGAGAAATTCCCTTTCCTTTGAAGTTTTTTGCCCTTTATTTGCATCCTTAAAGCAGTTTCACCTGTTTTCCCTCCTTGGAAAAATTAATTATGGTAGTATTGGCTTATTTATGATCACCAAGACTTGTATTCCCTTAGCATAGCTTACAGTATAAGTTCACACTTAGCTTTCAGCATCAGCACCAGGAAGACAGCTTTTTAAAATTACTTTTGTACCATCTTGTTCCAAAAAAGATTTGTGGTGGTACAAAAGTAGATAGAATACAGAAGATGAAAAAGGAATTAAGTGTAGCCAGAAGTTGGAATCAGCCCAGGTGTCCATCAACAGATAAATGGATAAACAAAATGTGAAATGTACGTACAATGTATTTCAGGCTTTAAAAGTAAGGAAACTTTGACACAACGTGGATGAGCCTGCAAGATGTTATGCTAAGCAAAATAAACTAGTCGCAAAAGGACAAATACTACGTGATTGTTCTTGTATAAGGTAGCTAGAATAGTTAGATTCATAGAACAGGCAGAATGGTGGTGGTGACTAGGGAGGCAGGGGTGGCACAGGCAGGAATAGGGAGTTATTGTTTAATACGCGCAGAGTTTCATTTGTACAAGGTAAAAAGAGTTCTGGAGATGGTGGTGATGATTGCACCACAATGTGAATGTCCTTAATACCGCTGAACTGTACACTTAAAAATGGCTCAAATGGTAAACTTTATGTTATGTATATTTTATCATGATTTTAAAAGAGAAGGAATTGATGAAATCAAAGTGAAGAAAATATAAAGGTACCAAGTAAGAATCCAGGACATACCAAAAAAAATGTAAAATAGATTGTATCGTTTGCTCTTTGGCCCTTAGAAGACGGAGTCAAATCCAGATTTCAAATAATGAAGGCTAACATTTTGGGGGCTTTTAGTGTGTGTCAAGCATTGTACTAATCTATGTACATTATTTCATTTATCTTCATATTACCCTTATGAAATAGGTTTTGTATCCCTATAGAGGTGATTAAACAGAATTTCAGACAAGTCACTTGCCCACGGTCACTTCTAGGAAGAGGCAGATCTAGGATTTAAATCCAAATCTGTCAAACTGTAGTATGAGTCCTTGCCTTCAACCTGTGCCTGCATGCATACCACAGCGACCTTACAGGGCACTCAAGGCAAAATGCAGTCAATGCAGATATCACCCTGTTTGGGCCTTTGTCATATCCCTGGGGGTATCCTAGACTGATGAGGGGATTAGCATGCCAGTGTAGTGAACTCATCACCCTTCACTTCTGTCACAGATGGGAAGCGGTCTCGAGCAGAAGCCCCTCTGAAGTGTCCCCTGGCAGACCCCCACATGAACTCTTCTGAGAAACTCCAGTTCTATAAAGAGAAAGCCCCAGATTGCCACGGGCCAGTGTTGAAACACGAAGCTATCTCAAGCCAGGAGTCAAAGAAGAGCAAGAAGAGACCTTTTGAGGAGTCAGAGACAGAACAGAATAATTCTTCACAACCTTCAAAGCAGAAATATGTATGTCTTGCTGTGGATGACTGGGACTTGTTAAATTCCTATTGATTAGTAGATACAGGTTGACCTTTCTCTGGCCCCCAGCTCTAATGTTTGAGTAAAGGAGACTGAGGATGATTTACTTTTTGTTTGAATTTACCTATGGCATTAGCATAGCAAGCAGATATTTCTACTTTTGTGGTGGGGGAGGGGAATGCTATGGAAGTATGTAATAATTTCTAATGTATATTTTCAATACATAGTAATTTTTTCAAATAAACATTTTTGCTGTCCTTAAGTTCTGCTTGTGGATTATAGATTGGAGCCGCAGGAAATAACACGTTGGCTTGGAATGGAAGGCCAGGTGAACTAACAAGGCAGCTTAGCATACCTCAGAGATACTGCAGATTTGGTTCCAGACCACCGCAGTAAAGCAAACACTGTAAAGTGAGTCACCAGACTTTTTCATTTCCTAGTGCATATAAAAGTTATGTTTTCACTATATAGCAGTCTATTAGATATTCAATAGCATTGTCTCCAAAAAACAAAAAAAAGTACATACCCTAATTTTAAAATACTTTATTGCTTAAAAAAAAAAGAAAAGAAAATGCTAACAATTATCTGAGCCTTTAGCAAGTTCCAGTCGTTTTGTTGGTGGCTGGGGGGTCTTTCCTTTGTTGGTGAATGGATGCTAACTAATCAGGGTGGTGGTTGCTGAAGGTTGGAGTTGCTGTGGAAATTTCTTAAAATAAGACAATGAAGTTTGCCACATGGATTGACTGTTCTTTCATAAAATATTTTGCTAGAGCACATGATGTTGTTTGATAGCATTTTACCTGCAATGGAACTTCTTTCAAAATTGGAGTCAGTCCCCTCAAACCCTGCTGCTGCTTTATCAACTAAGTCTATGTAATATTCTCCATCCTTTGTTGTTTCAACAATGGTCACATCTTTACCAGGAGTAGATTCCATTTCAAGAAACCACTTACTTTGCTCATCCATAAGAAGTAAGTCCTTATCCTTTCAAGTTTTATCATGAGATTGCAGCATTTCAGTCCTGTCTTCAGGCTGCAATTCTAGCTTTCTTGCTATTTCTACCACATCTGCAGTTTCTTCCTCCACTGAAGTTTTGAACCCCTCAAAGTCATCCCTGAGGGTTGGATTCAACTTCCAAACCTTTGTTAATGTTGACTTTTTTGGTTTTTTTTGAGACAGAGTCTTACTCTGTGGCCCCAGCTGGAGTGCGGTGGCATGATCTCGGCTCACTGCAACCTCTGTCTCCTGGGTTCAAGTGATTCTCCTGCCTCAACCTCCCAAGTAGCTGGGATTACAGGTACATGCCACCATGCCTGGCTAATTTTTATATTTTTAGGAGAGATGGGGTTTCACCATATTGGCCAGGCTGGTCTTGAACTCCTGATCTCAAGTGATCCACGCCTCAGCCTCCCAAAGTGCTGGGATTGTAGGAGTGAGCCACCACACCCAGCCTAATGTTGATATTTTGACCTCTTCCTATGAATCACAAATGTTCTTAATGGCATCTAGAATGGTGAGTCTTTTCCAGGAGGGAAAGTTTAGTTTAGTTTTGTTTTTTGAGACAGGGTCTTGTTCTGTCACCCAGGCTGGAGTGCAGTGGTGTGATCACAGCTCACTGCAGCCTCTACCTCCTGGGCTCAGGTGGTCCTCCCACCTCAGCCTTCCAAGTAGCTGGGACTACAGGTGCATGCCGTCACACATGGCTGATTTTTGTATTTTTTGTAGGGATGGGGTCTCACCATGTTGCCCAGGCTGGTTTCCTGGGTCCAAGAGATCTGCCCACCTCAGCTCCCAAAGTGCTAGGATTATACGCGTGAGCCACTCACCTGGCCTCCAAGAGGTTTTTAATTTACTTATTTACGTTGTCCAGATCTGTTAGAAGAGTCACTATCTATGGCAGCTATTGCTTTATGAAACATATTTAATAATAAGACCTGAAAGTTGAAATTACTCCTTGATCCATACGCTGCAGAATAGGTGTTGTGGTAGCAGGCATGAAAACAACATTCATCTTGTAAGTTTTTAGGTGATCAGCTACATTGTCTATGAACAGAAATATTTTGAAAGTGCCTCTAATTTGTGGACTACACACTGAGTAGCAAAGCTCTAGACCTTTACTGTCCAATATGTAGCTCTTAGCTACATGTAGCTATTAAATACTCAAAATGTGGCTGGTCCAAATTGAGATGTGCTATAAAATACACACTGGATATCAGATAGCAAAGACTTAGTATCCAAAAGTTTGAATGAAAAATGTTTCGGTCGGGGACATGGTGGTTCACGCCTGTAATCCCAGCACTTTGGGAGGCCAAGGTGGGCGGATCACGAGGTCAGGAGATCGAGACCATCCTGGCCCCGTCTCTACTAAAAATAAAAAAAATTAGCCAGGTGTGGTGGCATGCGCCTGTAATTCCAGCTACTTGGGAGGCTGAGGCAGAAGAATCCCTTGAACTCGGGAGGCAGAGGTTGCAGTGAGCTGAGATCATGCCACTGCACTCCAGCCTGGTGACAGAGCAAGACTCCGTCTCAAAAAAAAAAAAAAAAAGAAAAGAAAAGAAAACTGTCTCCATTTTGAAATACTGGTTACATGTTAAAATGGTAATTTAAAACAATTTCACCTGTTTCTATTTTTCTCATATGGCTACTAGAAAGTTTAAAATCACATTCATGGCTTGCATTTGTGATTGCATTATATTTTTACTGGACAGGACCGCTCTAGACCATATTCATCTTTAAAACGTGAGCTAAAAGCAAGAGTTACTGGCAAGTGAAAGGAAGGGAGAAAATACCTCAAGAAATTGACAACGTTAGTTTGACATTTGCAAGTGCTCTGGAGTTTAACCAGGATTTTATTTATTATTTATTCATTATTTTTATTGTTTTTTAACTTTTAGGTCAAGGGTACTTGTGGTGATTTGTCACATAGGTAACTTATGTCTCGTAGGGGATTGGTGTATAGATTACTTCGTCACCCAGGTAATAAGCATAGTTAGTACCCAACAGGTAGTTTTTCGATCCTCTCCTTCCACTGTCAACAGGCACCCAGTGTCTGTGGTTCCCTTCTTTGTATCCATGTGTATTCAGTGTTTAGCTCCCACTTACAAGTGAGAACATGCAGTCTGTGGTTTTCTGTCTAACCAGGATTTTAATAAAGGTAGATCTTAGATATAGTATGTGTTAATTGCTACTCTGAGCTAGGCAAGGTACTTACCTCTGTAAAGGTGGGCCATTACCCGGGATCATATCAAAAGCTCTGATTTCTGAAATTTATAAGATGAAAAAGCAAATACAATGCAGATTGGTTTTCTCTGTAACAAAGTAGAGTTTTAAAATACCATTTGAGGCTGGGCACAGTGCCTCATGCCTGTAATCCCAGCACTTTGGGAGGCGAAGGCAGGCGGATCACTTTAGGTCAGGAGTTCAAGACCAGCCTGGGCAACATGGTGAAACCCCGTCTCTACTAAAAATACAAAAATTAGCCAGGCATGGCGGTGGGTGCCTGTAATCCCAGATGCTCGGGAGGCTGAGGCAGGAGAATTGCTTGAACCCAGTAGGCAGAGGTTGCAGTGAGCCAAGATCACGCCACTGCATTCCAGCCTGGGCAACAGACAGCAAGACTCCATCTTTACATTTGAGTGGACAGTAGCACTCCTTGCCAAATTCCAAATGCCAATCAACAGCCGGCTTTACTTGTCAAAGTTGGCATGTATTGTTCATCAAACCAGAGTCTAATTTGATCACCCCCTCATGCACACAATACCACCACCACCTGACTCCACTGTTGCCTGTGGTGCAATGCCATGTTAACAAGTAGCATCTGGAATTACTCTTCAAACATCCGCCCATTTTGATCACTGTGGAAGGCAAATCTTCCTTCCACATTTACCCCTTAAGAGCAACTTGTGCTCACTTCTCTTTTATCAACACAGTATACTTCTAAAGCTAAGATTTCATTTTCTTCAATCCTTTTTTTCAAGAAGCACATTTTTGTCTGCTGGTGATTCCTTTAAACAAATATTTCTTGTTTTGGTCTGAGCAATTCATTTTTTGAAACAGAGTTATAGAAGTCTAGGCTTTGTTTTCATGACTGAGATGAAGGCTAAGAATTTATGACCAGCATACAATAGATAGGGTAATTTGTGTGTTCGTGTAACTTACATGTGAGGATAGGCTGTTTTTTAAAATTAGAATTTGTTTCTGCCTTCTTAGAATTTACTTACTGAATCGTTATGAACTTTGCAAAGTGACTCAATTCTGAAAATCCTCATACCTCTTTAAAACTATACTGCCTACCTACATAATGCTTACAAAAATGAATAAATCAATGTTTCTCCAAAACATGTTCTGTGAACCCCTGCCCCAGAGTTTTCTGTGGTATTTGTTAAAATGAAAATTCTTAGACCCCACCCAATGTTTATTGAATCAGAATCTCGTATTTATTATTTATTTATTTGATATGGAGTCTTGCTCTGTTGCCCACACTGGAGTGCAGTGGTACAATCTCAGCTCACTACAACCCCCGCCTCCTGGGTTCAAGTGATTCTCCTGCCCCTGCCTCCTGAATAGCTGGGATTACAGGTGCCTGCCACCACACCTGGCTAATTTTTGCATTTTTAGTAGATACGGGGTTTCACCATGTTGGGCAAGCTGGTCTCGAACTCCTGACCTCAGGTGATCCTTCCAGTGCAGCCTCCCAAAGTGCTGGGATTACAAGCATGAACCACTGTGCCTGGCCTGAATCGGAATCTTTTAGTTTATGAGAATTACTTAAGAATCTGATATTAGGCCATTTTTTTTTCCATTTATTCATTTTTTAAAAACTGAGCCATTCATCAGTTTATTTGAACATGTGTCTGTTGGACACTTAACATGTACCAGGTGCTAGGGAGTCAGCAATGAACAAGACAAAATACAGTATTTGCCTTTAAAGAGCACAGGGTGAGACAGACACAAAGTTAAGTGAACAGAACAGTCAATCAAGAAGCTAAGTTCACGTAGCGATAAGTAAAGAAAATGGAATAGGGTAATGGGATATTGGGAGTTATGGAAAGCTAATTTAAATTTTTAATTAACTTAGGGGGTTACAGAAGGCCTCTCAGGGGAAGTGACGTTTGAGCTGAGAAGTATGATAAGAAGGAGCTGATAATGCACACATCTAGAGGAGAAGGGTCTCAGGGAAGGAAAGAAGAATGCAAAAGTGAAGGTGGGAAATGTTTGGCACATTCAAGAGACAGAAAGAAAGACAAGTAGAGGGCCTGAGAC